ATCAGTTAGACTGTAAAACACATCATGATGTTATCAGTTAGACTGTAAAACACATCATGATGTTATCAGTCACTTGGACAATTCACCTACACTGCCATCACTAATATGCACCTTCGTACATATTCATTTATGTATTGTACTATGTACTGTGTCTCCTGTGGGGACACAGACCGTCCTGTGGGGACACAGACCCTCCTGCTGGGACACAGACCCTCCTGCTGGGACACAGACCCTCCTGTGGGGACACAGACCCTCCTGCTGGGACACAGACCCTCCTGTGGGGACACAGACCCTCCTGCACTCACCACACTGAGCCTGTTGATCATAGCAGAGGTCCAGCTGAGGTCAGCTCTCTTGTAGACCACAGCTACAAACACAGTATGAGGATCTGAGTCGACCCAGTGGAGKGGCGTTCCCTCTGGGTAGCTCATCCTGACGCTGGTTCGATTTCCCACGTCGACACTGAACTCCTGCAGCGGACCACTGTTTAACCTGAAACAGAAAGCATCAAACTCTGAACAGAACAGACTGCTGATGTGCTTTCTGTACTCATTTGCATGGAAYCAGATCACGTGACGAGTGAACAAACTGCACAACTGTGACAGGAACATTTTTTCACAGTGTGCTGTTACAGTCRGTCTCACATGTGGAGCTCTAACCTGATTATTGTGTCAAAGCGGTTGATGAGTCGTCCGAGCTCCAGGCCTCTGAGGATGCCTCCGTTTCCTACAACCACACAGCGATGACATTTACTGGACGACCTCTCAGGCAGGGGCTCAGAGTCTTGATCCGGGAGCTGGAAGACAGCAGGGTTAAAAATAACAAAGAATTAAAGAAGAACTAACACCACTTTTATGTAAAGTATTTAACTACCGTATTTATTCATGTATAATATGACCGCCCTATTTTTAGCTTAAAAAGCATAAAAATTTAATTCTCATACCATCTCTAATTTCATATGAACTCAGGATTTTTCAGCCTTTGCAGTCTTTATGCATATCAGTAAAATGATCATTTGACTGTTGTATCAGTTTATTTTTTTATTTTGACAACATATGTACTAAAATGTACACAACAACAAATGTATAACAATAACTACAACAAAAACTATCAATGTGAAATTTAGCAATGTTCATTTGTTAATTGGTGTGATATAACAAACAGACGTGGCTCTAACAAGTGTGGATGAAGTTGAATCAAAAGCCTTTAAAATCAGGCTCACCATCATCAGTATCATTAAAAGTTTCTGTGTTCCTCCTCTGTAATAAAGGCATCAGAATCCCACTCAACAACAATCTCATCCTCTGTGTCTCGCGAGCGCCCCCTCTGGTGGGGAAACTTTTTACAGGTAGACCAACTTTTTCAGAACACRGGTAGACGGCAGCCATTACAGACGACCATGAGTTTGTTGTTGTTCCAGGAGCGGCCCAGTCGCATATTAATATCATTAGTTCGTTTTCATTTTTAAGCTGCAGGACTGCCTTTTTTCTTTTTTTTTTCACATCATGTCTCCTGCTTGGATCTGTTCTGATCTCGCTCTGAAGCATGAAGGAGTGTCAGAGGTAAGTTCGCTTCAAACGCTTTTTATGACTCGGTCTCATTTCCAGACTCAGGCATTTTGTGAATGAGGCCGATATTTCAGTTAAAATACATAAGCAAAAATATTGATCCAAGTATAGTACTACCCACTAACTTTATGGATGATTTTATGGGTTTAATTTTTCATATTATACTAGAATATGTGCACTAATGACAGGGGACCTCCCTAAAATGTGGTCTGAAACCATTATATCTGTAATACACAAGGATGGTAAAGACCCAACTACTGTACGTGTGAAGGCTACAGATCCATGAACTTACTCTGTAATGACTTACAAATCTTAACGAGTATAATGGCACAAAGAATGCAAAAATATAAAACAAAATTGATTAACCCAGATCAAATGGGATTTATTTATGGCAGGCAGGGACCAAACATTAGAATACTACTAAATGTGATGTCATATATGAAACTTAAACCACAGCCCTCTCTTCTGATTAGTTTGGATGCCCAAAAGGCTTTTAACAGGGTAAAATTTACTTTTTATAATCAGACATTACTAGCCTTTGGGTTTTCACAGCAATTTGTTGAATGGGTGAAAGTAATTTATAGGAATCCAAAATCCCAAACTCTAGTTAATGGGTATTGCTCAGAATATTTGGATCTCAAGAGAGGAGTTAGACAAYGTGATTGAGTCTACCACCATCTGCAGTTAGTATTGAACCGATGGCAGAAGCATTAACACAGAATAAACAAATTCAGGGAGTAAGAGATGAGGGAGGGGTGAACATAAAATATCACTGTTTGCTGATGATTTATTAGTACTCTTAACAGAACCATACCAATCAGTACCAGCTCTACTACAGAGCCTTAAAGAGTACGGAAATATTTCAGGCTATATGATAAAAATAGATCAGTAGCAATGATGTTAGTGTCCAAGACAAGTAAATGAACAAGTGAAGTTCAAATGGACCAATAAAGGATTTAGATACTTAGGTATAATCATCACACCTCAAATTTTGCAGTTATTTGAAGCCAATTGTTGAAAGCTAAGGAAGGAAATTATAAAAGACCTACTGACCCTCAGTGGATAGAAACAATTAGAAGGAAATATTATTGTTTGTATACCAATCACTCCCAGTAGCCATTCCCAACTCCTCTCATAAAGAGCTGGATAAAAAACATTGAAGTTTGTATGGCAAAATAAAAAGGCAAGAATTAAATTCAAATTACTACAATCCTCAAAGAATAATGYAGGGCTAAGCCTACCTGATTTAAGGAACTACTTCTGGGCTGCTAAACTAAGAGCCTATGTTGTATTATGCTATCATCCTATGGATAACCAAGGACAGAGAGACAATTTGGGTAGATATGGAGCAAAGAACCTGTCTCTAGATACACTACAATTTTCAACAATGATGGTTTGAAAAAAAAAAACCTCAAGATTCAAAACTATTGGATTAAGAAAACAATCAATATTTAGTCAAGAATAAAAAATAAATTTAATTTACCTGACTCTATATCAAAAGTTGTAAAATAGCTATAAATCCTGATTTTATCTCAGGTACTATGGATGCAGGGTTTGAGAGATGGACAAATGTGGGTTTGGTTTTATAGCACAGCTTTTTAAAAAGGGCCAACAATGAAATCATTTGAACTAATCCAAAAGGGAATTTAAARTACAAAAAACTGATTTTTATAGATATATGCAACTCAGGCATTATCTCCAAAATCATAATGAATGACAGAAAATTTCAACAGACATGTCTAAGATTGAAGAGGTTCTATTGTTAATAGCAAAAGGTGAACTAAAGAAAGGCCTGATCTCAAAACTATACAAAAGTTTACAATATGTATCCAGTGTTAACCCTCTAAGGTCGACGCCCGCTCTGGAGCGGYCAAAGACGTGATGCATTRAAAGGGCTATTGAAAATAAATGGCAGCATACAGAGTGTTCATTRGAACTGGGTTGGACAGCATGGACTTCAAACTTTATAAAAGTAATGTTTTTATATAGTTTTATTTACTTCCAAATAAAACCAGATTTGATGATGAATATTTTTTGCTATAATGTGCGCATTTTTATGCATTTGGTGTGCAACCAGAGAACATTTTGTGACCATGAAGTGCTTGAATGCACCACGAAACCTATTTTTCCCATTTCCTCAAACACACCACATTTCTGAAACAACCAATCAAAACAGTTTGTCGGTAGGCTTGTGGAGAGAGAGGTTCTGGGCCGGTCGCAAAATTTTGGAGATGGCCAGGCCGAGGACAGATTGATTTCGCCATTTTGGATTTAGCTAGTAGCAAATTAGCTTTTAGACCAGACATGTGAGTGTGTGTGCAGTGTTTGTAGTAGTTAGCCTGTGTGTCAAAATGAGTCGTCGTTTGACTGTGGAGGAAGCTCTGAAGTGCTGAGCTTCAGCTTGAAGAAAATCAATCCGTCTTCGGTCCATCTCCAGTGCCTCTCCAGAAGCTCTCTGTTTACAAAGCCCGCCGACAAACTGTTTTGATTGGTTGTTTCAGAAATGTGGTGTGTTTGAGGAAATGGGAAAAATAGGTTTCATGGTGCATTCAAGCACTTCC